CTGAAATTTGAGATTTACTCACTTATGTTCATTATTTTCTATAGCATCTTAAACAAATCCAATAAATATAAAATTTAAACTGAAAGTTTTTAACTAATATAAGAATTAACCATAAAATTTTCAACTCAAAATAATATCAATAGATAGGGTAATTCAATACCACAAATCATCATTACTATACAGTTTTTTCACTGGACAACACCTTAATAAAAGATTTTTATAAAATTCATTTTAACTCCGACTAATCTAACAATTTCCAGTATTATTCTCAACATAATTATTATCTTATATAAAAATTTTCATAATTTTTGGAACTCAATAGCTTGGTCAAAAACAAACAAACATAGGCTGCAACATCATGAACTTTAAATAATCTTGTTTTATATACTTGTATATATAAAAATTATAATTTCTTAACATAACAACATATTAATAACACATATAAACACTTATAATTCTTAACTATACTCGATGATATTAAAGTTGTATAACATACCTCTTCCAATCTTGAGAAAACAAAGCAATGAAACTTGATTCACATTCTCTCAAAATTGCTCGATTCCTCTCGTAACTACTCGTTTCTTACTATTTCTTGCTCTTTGAATATTTATAAAATTTTTAGTGCTTCTAAAATCTGATTCTTAGGCCCTCTATTTATAGGCATAAGAGCTCTTCATTGTTGATAAAACTCCTCACCAAATTTGCTTAGAAATTAATATAAAAACTTAACTTGAATTAATATAAAAATATGATTTTGATGGCTCATAAATACTCTCTAAAATAGGACAAATATGCTGATTAATGATGATAATAATGCTCCCATAGCTGATATAAAAATTGGCCCCATTTTTATTTAAAAACACTTAGAAAGTTTTTTAGTAAAAATGATGACAAAACATCATTTAATGCTTTATTTATTTATTCATTTCTTAATATTTAGCTCTTAATTTTAAAATACAAATAATACTTCATAATTATCTTGTAATATGGTAAAAAAAACAAGAAAAATAAAATTGACTGAACTAAATTTGGACTTAAAACGAACAATTACCGTAAAACCAAAAATTCTAAAAATTCGGATTTCTCTCTTTTGCTTTTGAATTTTTTTTTTTCATAACTACTTTGAGATTGTGATATTTTCTCTTGTAAAAACCATGCTAACTTAATCTTAAAAATAATTTACTTATCATCTATAAACTATTAATAACTTTTACCGATTTACTGAATAACTTCTACTGATTTACTGACTTACTAAAAATATGGGGTATTACAATCTACCCCCCTTAAAACTATTTCCGCCCTCGGAAATACTGGAACTGGGATACATATTATCTGAGTATATATTAAAACTTAAAATCTGGAACTCTAACATCAGCTTATCACTCCGAAATGGCATTTTATTCTTCGTGGCAATTCTATTTTATACGAACGAGGGAAATATCTCAATTCTTTAGCCGATTAACTTTTTGGTCGAAAAAAATACCGACGGTTCCTCGTAAGTTAAAACTTGTTGAATCTAAATCTCATTGTGCTAAAGCACATGATTTGGATCGCTCAAGTATACACGTATCATCGATACCTGAAAAACATTACACATACTAACCAACTCGGGAGGTAATGCTAAATGATAGAATACTTCTTCTACTCGTTCAAGAACTTTGAACGGACTTATACAAAAAGAATGCAACTTACCAAACGACACTTCTCATTAGTCGAACTATCTAAAAGACTTGATCCATGTCTAAGTAAAAATTTCTACCAATTATGAGCAGTCTTGAACCTTTCTTGAATCCAAGCTACATACTTGACTATTTCTTCGATCAACTTCCATTATGGTAAAGCCAAATACTTTTGGACTTGTCCCTTAAGACTCTAAACATGACTATGTGGCACTTTGCATGTGATGTACCCACTACCCGGGGCCCTTCGGGTGCGGAACATTTACATGCATGTACCTACAATGTCAATATCACCTGCAAAATATACATTAGCATCATTAATTGTACTGAACTTGCCTCTGCGTCAGAAAACTGTTCAAAAACTACTATCAACACTTATATTCCTCTGACTTTAATATATCCAATATTTCTCAATTAAAACTGATTGGAAATTACTGCACTGCATAAATTACCCAATTACTGATCATACCACATTTCACCTATCGAGGTGAATTATTCTGTCCTCAATAATGTTTTTCGACACAACTCAACTTCACAATAATTCATTCTTCATATATTGCCGACATCTCATATCGGATTTCTGCTGCATTAATTGCATACTGGCTGCATGTTCTGACATTAGGAATATAATAATGCCAAACTCTATCTCCAGAAACTTACCTTATACGCTTCGATCTTCCATAAACCAGCTCGCTAATCCTTCAGTCTTCTTCAGCAATGGTCCGAAACAACAAATGGATTCGGCACTTTCAAATATTCGCAAATCATATTCTTTTCTTCCTTTTAATATCATAAAAAGGATTTATCGATCTCGAGTGGAAAGATTGAGAGTGCTAATGATCCACAATATTCCAAATGATATCCGATGGTTGTGTGAAGCAAACGTCCGACTCTCTGGCGAATTTCCAAATTCTTATAAATATCTGTCCGGTATGGGTAGAAGTACTCTTGCAAAGAAACGTAGAGCCAAAAGAATAGGTGGCTGCTATAAATGTGCTCGATTGAATTGCGATACCCGATGCAAATCGCTGGGGTTTGTGTCCATAAATCGAGAAGATAAAATAGCTTTTATTAAGAATGGCTTGAACAAGGAATCCCTGGATCAAACCCTCCAAAAAATTCTCGATACACATCCCAGTGGATATGTGCATCAAAAGCTTATGTCTTTATGGGTCTGTTTAAAGAATGAACAGAACCGCTATAGTCTCGAAAACATTATTGCTAAGGATCCTGTTTGCAACAGCTATCTCTGATAACTCCCTTATAAAAAGGTATTTATTTCTTTTGATAAATATAACTCATTGAATGCTTAACTGCTCCCCTGTCTGTTGCTTCTGCCGAAATCAAACATTATAATACTCATTCTCTTTCTTTAAATAACCCATCCTTTCCCCATTTGAGTATCTCTCTACTCCAAATGGAGACTCTTGTTTCTTCTCAAGTCACAAAAGTTCTTCCATCTATAAAAACCATTTGTGTTCTTGGTGGTTCTAAACTTGTAGCTTCTTCTCAAAATATTGATATTGTATCCCAACTAGTAAGAGAACTGGGAAAACAAAAGATCAATTTACTCTATGGGGGAACTAGCCTCACTTTCTTTGGTAGCCTTCTCTTGGCTGGAAAAGGCTTTGATATTGAAGTGAAAAGTGTTCTACCATTCCACAAAACTCCTTCAAAAGTTCTCAAAGATTCTACCAGTCTAATGCTTTCTAACTCTATTTATGATTGCACTATGCTCATGGTGAACCATAGTGATGCTTTCATTATACTTCCTGGTGGTTATGAGACTTTAATGACCATGTTTACTATTGCTTCTTGGGCTGACATGAAACTGCATAATAAACCCATTGGTCTATTAAATTCTCATCATATCTTCAATGGCTTTATTGGTTTTCTTGATGATAGTGTAATTCAGACTTTTATTTCTGATTCTACTAGAGACACTGCTACAGGACTTATCAAGATACTTCAAGAAAACATCACTTCTCAAGATTATGTGGAAACTCATAGGGTTAAACGAAAGCGAACTTTCGATCCAACAGATTTATCTTTATAAACTCTGATGTCTGATATGGGTGGCAGCGTTAAGGGGTATTAGACCCTTGAGACGCACCCTTCTTATATATATATATCTATCTTGTATTGGTTGAGGATTCACTTTTGCTATATCTGCATTTCATGAATCTGTAATAGCTTCTTTTGTAGTTGTGAAATCTTCAACAGTGTGTGTTTGAATAAAACTTGAATCCTTTCAGATCTTTCTGATATTGACGAATATAAATGGAAACTTTAATCGTCTGTGCCTTATTAAACAGACTATCTTCAACTTTCACATATCCAAATAACTTTTACTTTTAAAAATTCTTTCGAGAGACTTAACTGATAGTCTCAAAATTGGATTGTGAAACTTGAATAACTGATGTCTGTCAAATTTCTAGGTAAACTCGGATTAATGAGTCTTATTTCAAGCCTCCATAATTTACCCAGCTAATTATCTATTAAAACAATTATTCAAAATTTTATGAACATTGATCTTTATCTGATTTGTTCTATTCGTAGCTAGTCCCCAACCATAACGATATCGATCAGGCAACGGTACTGATAGTTAATCCCTTAATGTCTTTTCTTCAGGGAACTTGTCTGAATACCCGGCATTGTGACTCTAATTTCAAGTCTCCATGATAATAATTAAAATACTTGACTTATATATACTGATACTTGCAACTCATGCTCATTTTATAAAATGTACTATGTAGGACTGGTCCTACTAGTACTAATAACTTGTTCATGAACAGTGCTTAATAAAATTTCTCGATATCTAATTGTTAAGATACCTTCATTTCTGACTCTAAAGATTGACTGCTTTCTTAAACTTTACTCGCACGGTTCAGTTTCAAGCCTCCATGGTATATCCGGACTTATGGTTCTTATTTGAAACCTCCATGATAAACCCAGACTTATGGCTCTCATACACTGAAAAACCGTTACTTCGAATCTTTAATTTATGTACATCGTACATACTCAAAATAATTCAATTTCTAGAGTCAGAATTCAACTTTAATTTGATGTCTTTATCTTTAAAATGTTCAGATAACTTTCTTGATCTCCTGAACTTTCAAAAAAATTTATAGTCACAAAAATAGCAACTATATCTGAATGAATATTTCTTGTGAAACTTTACAGAGTGCCATCTGTATACTTGAATCTTAACTGAAAATAAATACTGAATTCTTGAAAAGCACAATTTCTTAACGAGTTATCAACTTGATAAGATATAATTCAACTTGAATTCTAATATAATTCTTATTTCGGATATGAGGACATATCTGATATTACTGATCTGAGCATTTTTTCTGATTTATAAGGTTCGGATAATTGAATCTTATTGAGCATAGACTTAGTAATTTGCTTATATTTAAGAAAATAAACTTTTGCAAAAACTTTAACAACACTTACCTGGTAGTCGGCGAGGTGTGAGCGTGGTGTGGTCGGTTTTTCCTAAAAATTTTCTTTCTGAAACTCAAACTTTTAGTATACAGAGCGTTTGAACTTTATCTCTGATACCAACTGTAACATCCCGTTCATCAGAGTAAATTTTTCGCAACTTATTTCGAAAATACTTATAAATTTTTCGAAACCTTCTTAACTCGGGATGCTACTAACTTATCTACTTTAAAAATCTGTGTACTTAAACTTCATCTAACAACTAAATTAGACATAAATAAAACAGATTTTAAACATTGAACAAATATAAAAACTTAACAGTTCATACAATCAACTTGATAAATCAACCTTTAAAATCACACTTAAAATCACACTTGTTCAAATCTTAAAGAAACGTAGCGGAAATCTTACAAGCGTGGTTTACAAACCGAAACCTTATTGAAAATTCTCAATAAAAACTTATTCACATCCACGACCACCACAACTCCTCACACATGTGCACCGTCTTTAATTCCTGAAAAAAATGATAATAGTGGGGCGTGAGTACTAATCAACTGTACTCCGTAAAACCCATACTTAAATAAACAATAATAATAATATCAATATCATAATCTTTGGTATGTATCTAAGCTTAATCTTTCGGTATCTAACCGATACTTTAACTTGAACTTTGCAACTACCGGTAACTTGGGCCGGTTCTCACGTGATCACATTCTGGGGGTCGCCTCCCAAAGAACCCAGTCTTGACTGAGCGAGCTTAATACTTGACTTAACTTTATACATACCTCGAACATAATAATAGCTATTATACTCAATGTAATACCCAGTTTGGGTCCCCACCTTTTCTTGAAGAAAACTTTTGAAAACTGTAAGTGCTGTACTGATAGCTGTATCTGCAACTACATAAAAATATAAACAAATATACTAAGTACTATGCTCATTATGCTTACTAAAATACTCGGATACTCACATCTATCAGATAACTTATCCGAATATAAAAGAATACTCTAGAGATCATACTAAGTCCGGATTTAAATCGGTATACTTAAACTGAATCGAAACTTAATCATTTTCATACTCTTCAAACTTTCACATTAATTAATATAATGAGAAAAACTAAAATCATATGCTATAACTCAATTAACCTCATTTTAATCTTAACTTTAACATATGTATTCTCAACATATATATAAAGTTACCTTAAATAAAATTTCACTTTAAAATAATATTCATATCTTGAGATATATTATTTCAAAGTTGAACTATATCAAAACATTCAATTTACTTGCATACTTGTCTTTAAAAATCTATATCTCATGCTACAATTATCTAAAAATTCAAAAACTTTATATCCTAACTCTCAACTAAATGAAAAAATATTCTGTAAATTTTCTCATAAACATAATAACCATAAAGTGAGATATGAATTTTCAAATAATGTTTGTCTTACTGAAATTCGAGATTTACTCACTTATGTTCATTATTTTCTATAGCATCTTAAACAAGTCCAATAAATATAAAATTTAAACTGGAAGTTTTTAACTAATATATAAATTGACCATAAAATTTCCAACTCAAAATAATATCAATAGATAGGGTAATTCAATACCACAAATCATCATTACTACACAGATTTTTCACTGGACAACACCTTAATAAAAGATTTTTATAAAATTCATTTTAACTCCGACTAATCTAAAAATTTCCAGTATTATTCTCAACATAATGATTATCTTATATAAAAATTTTCATAATTTTTGGAACTCAATAGCTTGGTCAAAAACAAAAAAACATAGGCTGCAACATCATGAACTTAAAATAATCTTGTTTTATATACTTATATATATAAAAATTATAATTTCTTAACATAACAATATATTAATAACACGTATAAACACTTATAATTTTTAACTATACTTGATGATATTAAAGTTGTATAACATACCTCTTCCAATCTTGAGAAAACAAAGCAATGAAACTTGATTCACATTCTCTCAAAATTGCTTGATTCCTCTCGTAACTACTCGTTTCTTACTATTTCTTGCTCTTTGAATATTTATAAAAATTTTAGTGCTTCTAAAATCTGATTCTAAGGCCCTCTATTTATAGGCATAAGAGCTCTTCATTGTTGATAAAACTCCTCACCAAATTTGCATAGAAATTAATATAAAAACTTAACTTGAATTAATATAAAAATATGATTTTGATGGCTCATAAATACTCTTTAAAATAGGACAAATATGCTGATTAATGATGATAATAATGCTCCCATAGATGATATAAAAATTGGCCCCATTTTTATTTAAAAACACTTAGAAAGTTTTTTAGTAAAAATGATGACAAAACATCATTTAATGCTTTATTTATTTATTCATTTCTTAATATTCAGCTCTTAATTTTAAAAAAAAAATAATAATTCATAATTATCTTGTAATATGGTAAAAAAAACAAGAAAAATAAAATTTACTGAATTAATTTTGGACTTAAAACGAACAATTACCGTAAAACCGAAAATTCTAAAAATTCGGATTTCTCTCTTTTGCTTTTGAATTTTTTTTTTTCATAACTACTTTGAGATTGTGATATTTTCTCTTGTAAAAACCATACTAACTTAATCTTAAAAATAATTTACTTATCATCTATAAACTATTAACAACTTTTACCGATTTACTGAATAACTTCTACTGATTTACTGACTTACTAAAAATATGGGGTATTACAACGAGGCACTCCAAGATAGAATTGCAAATTCGTGGAAGGTTGCAATGAAAGCTGAGATGGGATCTATGGACACCAATCAGGTCTGGGATCTTGTAGAACCACTCGGATGGAAAGGTGGAAACCTTTAAAGCTGGGCTTGTTGCGAAAGGTTATACCCAGAAAGAGGGTATCGATTATGATGAAACCTTTTCGCCAGTAGCTATGCTTAAATCCATTCGGATTCTCTTAGCTGTAGCCACTCATAAGGATTATGAAGTGTGGCAGATGGATGTTAAGACGACTTTTCTTATTGGGAACCTTCAGGAAGACATCTATATGCAGCAACCAGAAGGATTCATTGCAAAAGGGCATGAGCACTTAGTTTGTAAGCTTAATCGGTCTATTTATGGACTGAAGCAAGCCTCAAGGTCTTGGAATATTCGGTTTGATGAGGTAATCCAGTCATATGGATTCACCCAATGTCCGGATGAGCACTGTGTATACAAGAAGATTAGTGGAAGCGTGGTGGTGGTTCTTGTGCTATACGTGGATGACATACTTCTTATTGGCAACAACAAGAAGGAGTTGTCGGACGTAAAGGCGTGGTTGTCTAAGCAGTTTGATATGAAGGACTTGGGTGAAGCAGGACACAATCTTGGCATCAAGATCATTCGTGATCGTGAGAAAAGAATGATGTGCTTATCCCAGTCTTCATATATAGATACTGTCTTGGCCAGATTTAGTA